TGCATTGGGGGGGGGCTGAGAACAAGGGGGGGGCTTTGGACTGGGGCTTGGCTCGCTCACTCGAGCCCAACAGGATGCCAACTGATGCCCCCACCTATATGTGCATTGGGGGGGGGCTGAGAACAAGGGGGGGGCTTTGGACTGGGGCTTGGCTCGCTCACTCGAGCCCAACAGGATGCCAACTGATGCCCCCACCTATATGTGCATTGGGGGGGGGCTGAGAACAAGGGGGGGGCTTTGGACTGGGGCTTGGCTCGCTCACTCGAGCCCAGCGGGATGCCAACCTATCCCCCCTTCTTTCCAGGTTCGCGACTGGGTGGCCGAAGAGAGCAGCAACCAGGGTCTCCTTGTGACGGTTCAGGGCCTGGGAGGGGCCCCCATGGACCCCCACGCGGTGCAGTTCGCCTCGGGCAGGGACCACCACACCAGCAAGAAGCCCATGCTGGTCTTGTTCACGGATGACGGGCGGCGGGCAGCTGCCTTGCCCAGCGGCTTCCCCAGTGAGTCACCCGCGGCCAGGCGGTTTGGGGATGGAGTGGGGGACACCGTAGCCTCCCTTGGGACCCTCCACAACAGGCTGATGCTGACTGGGGGAAGCTGAGCCAATTCTCTTCGTCCTCCCCTCCGCAGGTCTGCCCTCTCTCCCCGAGGCCCCTTCCAACCGGACCCGCGGCCCCCGCTCGGCCGAGAGCTCCCTGCCCTGCCGGCGCTACCCGCTGCCGGTGGAGTTCGACGAGATCGGCTGGACGGGCTGGATCATCTCGCCGCACGGCTACAACGCCTACTACTGCAAGGGCACCTGCCGCTTCCCGCTGGGCCAGAGCATGCGGCCCACCAACCACGCCACCGTCCAGTCCATCATGCACGCCCTGAAGCTCAACCCGGAGGTGCACACGCCCTGCTGCGTGCCGGATAAACTCTTCTCCATCAACCTGCTCTACTTCGACGACGACGAGACGGTGGTGTTGAAACAGTACGACGGGATGGTGGCCGACAGCTGCGGATGCCACTGAAGCCGCCACACCCGCCCCCCGCCCCCGAGCACGGGAGGAGGGGAGGCAGGGGAGAGGGGGAGGCTGGCGCAGGGATGGCCCCTCCCACCACACCCAAACCTCGGTCCTGCAGACNGGCAGGGTTGTTGTGTGGGGCTGCCCAGTGCCAACTTGCCTTTCCCTTTCAGCTCACGGCGACCGGATGCAGCTGCTCTTCCTGCTCTCCAGCGTGGCCAAGAACGAGGTGGTGCTGTCGGCCGAGCTGCACCTCTTCAAGCTGCGGGCCAGGGGGGCCGAGGGGGCCGCCCTCCAGAGGCAGCACTACTGCCAGGTATGCCCAGAGGCACTCTTGACGATGCCCAGCGGAGAGGCTCCCGACTGCCCGCTGGTCCTGCCAGGCCTTGGCCTGGGTCCTTCCACCCCCACCCATCCCCGTTCCTTGACCTCTAATGCTGGAATCAGTGGGCCCGGAGCTTCCCCAGAGAGCTGCCCCTTCTCCCCACATCTGGTGCCAGCTGCATCTTGAGGGCATCTTGATCTGAGTCATGGCTTCCCATCTACACTCTCCTGGCCCTCCGAGATAGACTGCCCCTGACAATGGAGGCTCTCTTTGCTCCTATTGTCTATTGAGGGATATCTCCCCCTCCCCCTCCCATCCTCCTCTTCCTCCCCCTCCGTTTTAAACCCGTTTTAACCTCCTCTTCAACCCTTACTCCCCACCACAGCTGCAGGGAGTCTGAGAGGCTTGGGGGGTGGGGATGCCTAAGGCCATGTAGAAGGTCTTCTAAGCTGCCCTCCCCCCTTCCCAGTTAGCCGATTCTCTCTTCAAACCAAACAGGGCTGGGCTCTCCAGGGGGGGCCTCAGATGGGAATTGGAGTCCCTTCCGACTAGCTGCCTCTATGCCCAGGCCAGGGAGGGGGGCTACTTCACTCCCGGAGTTGGCAACTGACAAAGCATCTCAAAATCCTGGAGCCCCCCCCCTTCTCTCTCTGTCTCCCCCTCTCTTTCTCTCTGTCTCTTTCTTTCTCTCCCTCTTTCTCTCTTTCTCTTTCTCTCTGTCTCTCCCTCTGTTTCTCTCTGTCTCTTTCATTCTGCTTCTCTCTCTTTCTCTCTCCCTCTTTCTTTCATCCTCCTCCTCCCTCCTTTCCTCCTCCCCCTCTCCCTTCCCCCTCCCTCCCTTTTTCAGGAGAGGAGACCAGATTAGGCGAGCATGTGCAGAGTGCCCTGAGTCAACAGGGGGAAACGGCTGCTGGGAAGGGGGTTGGGGTTATCCTCCCCCCACATAGGGCTTCGTCTAATCTCCTTTCCCCCCCCCCGTCCCCCGGTTTCTCAATCTCCTCCCCAGGTCAGCGTTTATCAGGTGCTGGACAAGGACCACCCGGAAACCCCCCAGGGGAGGAAGCTGCTCTCCGCCCGGCTGTTGGCCCTGCAGGGCTTCGGCTGGGAGGTCTTCTCCATCACGCAGGCGGTGAGTGCCTCCCTCCGAGGGGGGGGCATTCCAGAGGCAGCTTGGGTGCCCCTGCGTTCGGCCAGCTGGGAATAAGGGTGGGGGGCTTTTGTCTGTGGCTTGGCTCGCTCACTCGAGCCCAGCAGGATGCCAACTGATGCCCCCACCTATATGTGCATTGGGGGGGGGCTGAGAACAAGGGGGAGGGGCTTTTGTCGGTGGCTTGGCTCGCTCACTCGAGCCCAACAGGATGCCAACTGATGCCCCCACCTATATGTGCATTGGGGGGGGGCTNCCAACCGGTTCGCGGCAGTCCCCGCGAACCGGTTGGTCGGCGAACCCGGAAGTAAATAACTTCCGGGAACGGCGAAGGGCCTACCCGCCCGCCCGTGTTCCTTACCCGGTTTTGACGAGTTCTGCGCTTCCACGGATGTGCAGGACGCATACAGCACCTGCGCAATCCTCCAGGAGCAGCTGGAGCATCGCACAGATGCTAGTACGCATGCGTGCGCTGCGCGCATGCACGAGGACGCCGCCGGCCCCGTTCCAACCGAACCAGTTGGAACGGGGTGAGAAACCCACCCCTTCTGCTGGCACGCCAGAACCAATCAGAAGCCTGAGGCTCTGACCGCGACTGCCGGCTGCGTCGGGAGGGCGCAACAATTTCCCCCTTTTGACAACTGCTCACTGTGACTTTCCGCCATTTTTAAAATTCTGGTTTTCTTTCTCTCTGTCCTCCCAGGTCTAGAGCTGAGGAGGCCCAGTTCTCCCCTCGTTGATCTTAAGCCCATCGAGTTTGGGATCCTGGGCTCTAAAAAGGAGATTGTCCAGCCGGGCATCCTGAGGAAAACCTACACTCCCGATGACTATTTTAGGAAATTTGAACCGAGACTCTATTCCCTTGACTCCAATAGCGACGATGTGGATTCTTTGACGGACGAAGAGATCGTAGCCAAGTACCAGCTGGGGATGCTACATTTTAGCACCCAGTACGACCTCTTGCACAACTATCTCATCGTCCGGGTCATCGAAGGCAAGGACCTGCCTCCCCCCATCTCCTATGATGGGGCCAAGCAAGACATGGCCCACTCCAACCCCTACGTCAAGATCTGTCTCCTTCCCGACCAGAAGAACTCCAAGCAGACGGGGGTGAAACGCAAAACCCAGAACCCCATCTTCGAGGAGCGGTACATGTTCGACATCCCGTTTTTGGAAGCCCAGAGAAGGACTCTGCTCTTGACGGTGGTGGATTTCGACAAGTTTTCGCGCCATTGCGTCATCGGGAAGGTGTCCATGCCGTTGAGCGAGGTGGACCTGGTGAAGGGCGGCCATTGGTGGAAAGCTCTGGTCCCAAGTTCTCAGGTAATTTGTGGGTTTCCACTCAAGGAGTGCAATTTTTTAAAAATGTTAAATGTTCTTTTCATTTGCTCTGTTGGGTTTTAAGGTGTCTCTATTGCAAAGATATGTGTTTCTTAGATCATTTGTAGCCTGTTTATAGTTTCTTCTTCTGACTATAGTGGCCTTCGCTTTTCCTTTCCCCTCCCTTTCCTCCCTCCTCCTTCCCTTCTTTCTTTTCCTTTCCTTTCTCTTCTTTCCTCTTCTTTCCTTTCCTTCTTTCCTCTTCCCTTCCCTCTTCCCTCCTTTCCTCTCCTCTTCCTTTCCTTCCTTTCCCTCTTCACTCCTTTCCTTTCCTCTTCTTTCCTTTCCTTTCCTTCCCTCTTCCTTTCCTTTCCTTTTCTTCCCCCTTCCTTCCTTCCCTTCCCTTTTCCGTTCCTTTCTCTTCTTTCCTTCCCTCCTCCCTCCTTTCCTTTCCTTCTTTCCTTTCCTTCCCTTCCCTCTTCATTCCTTTCCTCTTCTTTCCTTTCCTCTTCTTTCCTTTCCTTTTCCTTTCCTTTTCTTCCCCCTTCCTTCCCTTCCCTTTTCCGTTCCTTTCTCTTCTTTCCTTCCCTCCTCCCTCCTTTCCTTTCCTTCTTTCCTTCCCTTCCCTCTTCATTCCTTTCCTTTCCTCTTCTTTCCTTTCCTTTCCTCTTCTTTCCTTTCCTTTTCTTCCCCCTTCCTTCCCTTCCCTTTTCCGTTCCTTTCTCTTCTTTCCTCTTCTTTCCTTCCCTCCTCCCTCCTTTCCTTTCCTCTCTCCTTTCCTTTCCTCTTCCTTCCTTTCCTTCTTTCCTCTTCCCTTTCCTCTTCCCTCCTTTCCCCTCCTCTTCTTTTCTTTCCTTTCCTTCCCTTTTCCTTTCCTTTCTTTTCCTCCCCCTTTCCTTTCCTTTCCCTCCTTCTTTCCCCCTTTCCTTTCCTTCCCTCCCCTCCCCTTCCTTCACAATTTCAAAACTGAATTTATTTTGCGATGCATGGAATTAAAAAAAAAAGACACACCAAGCATCATTTTTGCAGTGTTTGATTCTGCTTGCCCTTTTCTGTTGCAGAACGAAGTTGAGCTGGGAGAGCTTTTGCTCTCATTAAATTACCTTCCCAGTGCGGGGAGACTCAATGTGGACATAATTAGAGCCAAGCAGTTACTGCAGACTGATATGAGCCAAGG